ATTGTTAAATTTAAATTATTAAATTTGAATTCTATGTAAACATTTCTTGGTATAAATATGAAATTTATCATTTTGTTTAATTCTTATTTTAAATTTAAAAAAAAAAAAAAAAAAATTGCTATCAATATAAAAAATTCTTGGAACAACCCGCGATCCTTATGGGCTCGACCAGAATGGATCAGCGGGGTGGACCTGTGTTGTAGTCCAAAATTTATGGGCCGACCAGGAACCGGCCCGGAACCCGTAGCGGGCATGCTTTTTTTCACGCAGGCCGTTATTGCGCTCATATGTTGACGGGTCGACCTGACCCGGCGCACCCGAATTGACACCTCTATCCCAACGGTGAGCATATATTATAATATCTTTTTTTTTTTTCCATGAAAAGGACTGTACACCCTGAACCCAATTTGCATCATAAACCCCCAAAAAATTCCAAAATCGTCTTTTATTATAAAATCAAATCCAGAAATTCACCATATAGAATGAATGGATTGGTCAATATTACTTGAATCTAATCTGTAATGTTAAGATGTTTCTTGTTCATTATCTGGCACACAAATATTAGGCACTGTTTAATCCGCAAATGTGAACGAGAAAGAGTTGATTTTTCATTACATTTCTAAAAGTGGAACCCTTCAAACATTGCCGGAGAGCTTTCGTCTGCTAATAATTCTCAGATGAGTTGAAAATTGCACCAAGTGATAATAACTTAGATGTGTCGGTTGATGATTTAAATCAGATCAACAAATTCTACTCATCTAACTACAATTTTTACTCCTAAATTTACTAATTTGGATGCTCAAATATGAGCAAGAAATAAAATAGCTATTTGAACGAGAAATATTTGAATTGCATATATTCTTCTTCAAATGAGAGGGTATTTATAAATTTCCCTCCGAACTTTGAGGTAACTTGGTTCTTTTGAGAGAATGACAGATGATGGCTCCTTATTGACTATTTGTTTATCTTCTCACTAATTCGATTAAGAACCATGCTTTATTTACTTGTCCTTTATTGACAGCTGCACTCTTCTTCGGAAAGAGGAGTTGCTTGCCTTACCACACCCACCACCTTACGGGAAATAACCAGCTTAAATACGGAAAATAGTTCTTAATTTTTAGGCGAGCCTTCTGCTTCTTTGTTCCTCGAGTGCTTCTGTGCATTTCGCCTAACAATTAGCTAGGTTCAAATGCTGCACTACAAGGGTTAACAGTGTTAGTGTGTTAAAAGAGATGGGGCTCGTTTGAGCTTATTATTATTTTTGTAGAATGCATTTTGAAATAGTAAATCGATGGAGAATGTATGGTTAAAAATTAAGCATGTGCCCGATTTCCTTTTTTTTTCTTCATTATAACAAGAAATATGATTGTTCAATTCAAAAAAGCAATTATAACGATCATATTTGACATTATAATAAGGAAAAAATGAGGATCAAATGCAGTCTAAGAAAAGTTTTAGATATGTGGTTAATATTATTATTTTATTGAAAATTGTGTGATTAAAAAGAAAATAGATAAATGTATTTTGTGAAAAATTAAGATCAAACATGGGCATAGTGTGGTGTAAAAATTTTTTATAATAGACTAGGATTATGTCTGTAAAATGACTTCGACAATAGGATATTTTTCAAATTTTCAGTTAAATGTTTATTTTAATGGCGAGATAAATAAAATTCGTGTTAGTAATATATTTACCCACTTACAATTCTCCGTTGCCTTATCTCTATTTCATACAAGACACGAGCGTTCCTTTCCCCTTCCAAGAAAACCATATCGTCCTTACCTTCTCGCCAACACAAATGCTAGTACCTCTGGCCATTCAACAAAATACTGGCAATACAACAAATTATGCATCAAATTTCCAAAACCCAGCAAAACCTCCCAAAAATCCAAGCTTTACAAATACGGTTCATCCACCCAACACAAGAAAACTCAAACCCATTAATATTTCCTGTTCATCTTCATCCCCGACTCGAGAAACGTCATCAATCTTGGAGAATAATGGCAATAATCAAGATAAACGGAAGCTGGGAGTTGTAGTGAAGCCAATGGAGAGACCAAGACTGGTGCTGAAATTCATATGGATGGAGAAGAACATTGGATTAGCGATAGACCAAGTGATTCCAGGAGGTCGTGGTGGGACTATTCCTTTGAGCCCTTTCTACTTTTGGCCAAGAAAAGATGCTTGCGAGGAGCTTAAAGTTATGCTGGAGCGTAAACCCTGGATTTCCAAGAAACAGAAGGTTGTTTTGCTCAGTCAAGCTGCTCATATCATCAATTTGTGGCAGCAGAGAAATGGGTCTTGTTAGTTTGCACATTTTATTTACTGCACTTTACAGTTGAAATTGTTCGCAACTTTTTATTAGGATGTGCTCTTAATTTTTAATTATAAGCAGATCAAGGTCAGCTTATAAGCATCTTCAATCGATCATTCTGCTTGTATTGACTTCTTTGTAATATACCAAACAAAGACAAGATTGAGAGGGTTTTGACATGAGAATTAGAAACTCACCATTAACTATTTTAATTGACCTTTTAAAAATTACTATTGCATACATCTGCGATATTTTATTACAGACCCTTGAAAATGCATAAGAAATATTACCATTTTGAATGTTTTTTATATGAGAAAAGAATAAACACTTAGCAAGATGAAAATGAAACCAAGAGGATAGAACTCCGAGGACAATAATAAGACTAGTATTTGAAAAGTTCTACATTTTTTGTATCCAAATTACACAGTTTTTGAGAAAACGTAATAGTTAATTCACATGGCAAGCGAAAAGTTGTTGCATGTGAAGAGAGGAAAACAAGGGGAAACCTTGGTAAATAATCTACTTCATTTTAAACCATTTTACTCGTCAAACTCGTGCATATGATCTAATAGATAGTTTGCAGCCAGCTCCTCGTTCTTGTTGCAAGCGAAGAATACTTCCAACACCAAAGCTCGATCAAAACCCATAGCTTCAAGCTGCAAGATAAAGTTACAGTTTAGTCAAGAAGCCGCATTATAAGCAAATTCTAGACTCTTTGAGAATCCATCTAGGTAAAAAGAATGGATGCTTCAGGCATGGAAAACATGACATTACATACTTCATTTTGCAAGTTTTTGGACATATATGCTACAGTCCAAGTTTTGATTAAAAAAACTAAAAGAATGATAAGGGATTTAACATCTGATTTAAATTAATAAACATATAAAGATGTGGAAAACTGCTTCTGAACATAATGCTGTTCAATTCCTATTTGTATCATGACTTCGATGGATGTTGAGGATGTAACCAAAAGCGTAGTGTTGAAAGATATTATCCATTGTTCTAATAAAGGGTTCTACGCGGAAAATAGAAGTAACAAGAATCCAGCAACATAACAATGATACCATACAGGAAAGTAGTGCAACGAATGACAAAGATCAAAACCCGTGCATAGATGCATGTGCAAAGTACTCTGGGTTCGTTTTAACATGAAACAAGGTAGTTTTACTTGCTTGGTTTTGTTAGGTAAACATTGCTACAGGTGTCATTATTTACGTGATACCTTGACGAAAAGCCACGTAAGGAAGCCCCAATCATCCAGCCAAATATATGTTTTAAGACTCCGTAAATCAATCCACAAGAGGAATCACTCTTCAAAAGATGACATGTACATGTTGATCTTATGCTATCTATTGATGCACAATTGTTTTAACACTACATTCTGTGAAAACAATTTAAATTAGGGTAATCAGCATATAGCCCTACATTATAAAATCATCAGAATTCGTGACTGGCGACTGGTGATACTACAGCAGACAAATACTCAAAGCATTGTCCCTCCTCTGCTCTTAAAATGCAACTACAGTTTGAAGAATAGTGTACGAATTGTTTAGAAGAGTTTTGACATGATAATCCAAATCTCTTGCTCTCGTGTACAGGAAAAGATATCTGCTAAATAATTAACCTAAGGTCTAACAATCATAGTTCTTTGATCTGTTATGTTTCCAGACATTACTCCATGTGGTCAAAGTTGCCAAGAAGCTCAAACCATCTCATTGGCGCTAAACAACAAACAAGAGCTACATAATGCGTATTGAAACATGCATAAAGAAACTAAAATTGAGAGTGAAAAACTTACACGTTCAATTGCTTCCCGCTCTTCAGGTGTGACAGTCACAGTCTGCGGCATTGCTTCAGCAAGCTGCCCTAATATGTTCCTAAATCATTATTGATATTTCAAGTCAGTTGCCAGGATATATGAAGAAAGTGCAAGATGGATCAGGAAGCCAGAGAAAGACAAAAGCTATTATCGAATGGATACAACTTCCCAAGAAGAAAAAGACAATAGGAGAAACAACAGTAGATCCTCTCACCCCTCCCCTTCAACAGGTTCATTTATTAGGCGTAGAAAGTCAGCCTGATGTTCTTGAATCAACCTCACTAATTGTGGGTTTTGCTTCCCCAGCTCTTGAAGCATAGGCTGCAGAACGTATGCCATCATTACAGGACGAATCAGCATTTCAGTCTTAAATTAAGTATTGGACGTGTAAAAGTAGCGTACCTGCAAGATTTGAGGATTGGCTTGCACCATGGCCCGCAGAGCTTGAAACTGAAAATTAAAAAAAAAGTGAAACAAAATCAAACCAAAATTGTTTTTCAGTTTTCTAATAAACGCAGCTTTCTGTACCTGTTGACTATTGCGAAGAAAATCCAAGTTACCAGTAGCATTTGAACCCACATTTGGCATTCCCTGGTTCCAAAGGAACGACCAATTAGAAGTCATTTTTTTTTCTTTTCAAAAGACTTCAAATTATATCCAAACAAATTCCTACCTGTGGAAAAAGGTCTAAAGGATTGGCATTGGGTCCACTCGAAGGCACCAGTGGCTCTGTTGCCTGGGTTGAAGGATTCACAGCCTGCCCACCTGCAGGAGGTTGAGCAACAGGAGGAGGGACTTCTGCTTGCTCAGGTATACCCTGAAATAGAACTCTTATATAAAAAGGTGCAACTAACTGATTCAAGGAATTAATGTTTTCAAAACTTCCTTCCAATTCTAGCAGACATTTTTTCCTTTTAGCAAAATGAAAATGTAGGCCAAAATCCGAGTAACATGTATCTGGAGTTCAAAACCTTTGGGAAAGACTCACAGAATAGAGGTATTCAACAGCTCTCTCTGGATTGTTATATGCAGCACGTAAAGCTCTTACAACTGTATCTCGATCCCAACTACCTCCACCCATATCAAGAATTTGCTGAACAGTGGTCTCTAAGTTACTTCCAGCAACAAGATTTGATGCTGCTTGATCGTAAACATCTGTCTCTGAGCTGTTTCAAGAATAAATATACGTAAATTAACACTAAATTTTCAGATGACAGTTTCAAAACTGATATATCCTATTAGCAGTAAACAAACAGATCACTTGTACTCACAAAGCAGGGGCAGGGGCAGGAGCTGGAGCAGCTGCAGGAACAGATTCAGGGGTAGATTGTGGACTGCACACGAGAAATGGAAAGGTTAAAAGTAGGGATCAAAACTAGAAAATAATTACTTATAATTGATGAAAAATAGAGCAGCAGGACGGATCTTACGGTGCCAAAGTTGATGCAGGAGTCGGAGATGCTGTTACAGATTGTGCTGGTGGAGGAGTATTACTTGCCGGTTGGTTCTATAGAGAAAATCATTAGCACTCATAACCAATCAACACAGAACAACTCTTAGATGATTCCCAACAACTAAAATCGAGACAAGATCTTGTTCCATTTCATTCAACTTAAAGATATACATACACATACAGATAAAACAACCAAGACATTTAAGCTGCATGGCAGTCACATGTAATAAGAATATCTTTCTCCATAAAAATACGGTTTAAGGTAAGTCCAGAGAGAAACGTTAAGAAACAGGAGTTCCAGTATATATGAAGTTCACAATGAAAAAAAATGACAGTTCAAAGCTTGCCAAATAAAGATTGGAGCATTTACTATGTAATTGATCTAATCCTAACTCCATTTTGCCAACAAACGGAATCAAGTCCAAAAATGCTGCCCAAGAAAGTGATGTAAAGGTCAGATTCACACACCGTACTCAAAGGTGCAGTTGATGCAGTTGCAGCCGCACTTGATGAAGCCTTGTTCTACAAAAGTTGCAGAATACAAACATAATAAGCCATAAAACTAAATTGTGTGGGAATGCATGCTGTGAATTGACATAAATGCATTAATATACTTTTTAGTTTTTTCCATTGTAGATAATATGACTCGTAAAATAAAGTAAAGATACAAATTCATTCATTTGGAACAGCCACAAACATGCACAACACACCAACAACATATGTTCATTGGCATACCAGCAATAAAGAAAACTTATACATAGACAATGCACATCAAAAAGCTGCTGTCAAATTGTAAATTATCGAAAGAAATTGTATGTTAGTTCAACTCGTCTACTCATAATCCCTCCTCTTCTCACATTGCAGTCAATTTTTTTGTCAAAGTCGCAAACATGGCAAGTCATTCTTGATATGATTTTCATTCGAGCAAAAGAATATAGAACTTACGGGATAGGATAAGATCTAAATAATGTGAAAACAGATACCTTGCTCAACATGATGACAATGAAACTTTTTTCAGCTACTTTGTTCTCCTCAAGTGTTGTCTCATCCTTTAGAACTTTCCCCTGATGGATGAGCATTTGCTGAGAAGCAGGGTAGACATCTGATCCTTGAATCGTTTCTATTTTCTTTTTCACATCTGCCACCTAGAGTTCAACAGATACTTAAATCATTTGAAACACCACAAAACTGAATATACAAAAACTTAGGCAATTAGGATTATCCTTCAAGCAGATTAGTCAGTTTGTAAGAACTGTAGTCGTGTTCTGGCAGAGGCAAGTATTTCGACAGGATCAAACGATAGGGACATTTCTTAAGGCAAGGGGCCAAAAAGTTATGGAAGTATCACTCAAAGTGTAGTACAACCGACAACACCAAGAGTCAGATGAACATACATAAAATGCAACTGAAACTGTCTAGACTCTCCCACATCAAATAGTCAAATAATTAAGACATACTACATTTGTTGTCCACCAAAACTCTCAACAAAATTTGTCTTTGCCATGAAATTAGATAAGCTTATTAAATCAAATCTCCAATCATTGTTGAATTGTAACAGGAGCAAAATTTAAGAAGGGCATAATTGAAAATCTGAAATGTTGGACATTCTTTCATATTCTGAAAGGAAAAGTTCATATGGAGATTATCTCCTATTCAGGACGACTCTCTTGCTACTGACTGCTAATTGTGATGAAGAACACAAGCGTTTGCAACTTAAGAAAAAATATGTACTTTCGAGGATTTCCTTGACCATATCTCTTTGTTCTTTTACTTAATTGGCAAATTATTACCTGCTAACCAGATAATTGAGATAATTCCTGGGTGGTATTTATCACCGAACGCAGATGTTCAGTCACTAGAATAGCCGTTCCTGTGAACCGTATTCAACATCGACTTTCAAAAGCTTAGGCTATAAAATTAATTTTCCAATGACTTTGCTATTGCTTTCAACCTGTAGAAATTCAAGTGAGGTATACCAAACCTAGAGTAATATTAATCCAGTCGCTGATAATCAAGACCCGCCAATTTGCTAATGAATATCCGGTTGAAACATATGTTCATCATTCTCGATTTAGAGTTCAAATACGAAAATTCAAAGTCGAAATTAAAACAAAAATTCAGACCTAAACAACAAATGCCCACTGCATAGAGCTCAAAGTCTACGAAGCAAAAACAAGAACTCACTCAATTATTACGATAATTGCTAAGAACAGATATTGAAGCGCGCATAACATAATCTAGAATCCTAACACCCGTAACAACCCCAAAGCCCTATCATACCTTAGTAACAGGTAAATAATAATTCAGTTCAAACTTACACAGACACACAAATAAAAAATTTATTCATCATGCATAGAGCGAGAGAGAATAAGAAGGAGATAGATACGCTGTCTTCCGGCTTGACTTCGATCTCGAAATGGGTGCCCTTCAATGTCTTGACGAAGATCTTCATATTTGACCTTTAGGTTTTGACGTTTCTACTCCCCACTTTAAAAACGGCGTCCCGATCCCAGGTCACGGCCGGCGAATGTTAGAGAGAGACAGAAGGAAATGAAAATCAAAGCACGAGTTCTTTTTATGATTTAACGGAAGACGAAACTCTGTATTTCCACATTATATAGCTGGAGTTTGGTAATGGTTAGGTAACTAGGCGGTTACTGACAAGCACTCAATAGGCTATTGACACATAATACGGCGTCGAGAGAGACTTGAAATAACGCTGAACAATGTTATTTATCATTATAATAATAAAATTTTGACGGTGATTAGACAATTCTCTCTCTCTCATTTCTCTCTCCTCCACTCCTCTCGTAAAAATTGAACTACTATAAAGGGTGCACAAACCCTGGTC